AAATTTAATCAAAATTCAGTTAATTCTTTTAATCTATACTATTAATTGGGAAGGAAAACTTGAAGCCAAACACCTCCCAATTTTAAAAAAAAATTTCATGAAAATAAAACCAGTTGCCAAACAGAATTAATGACAGCAAAAAATAACAAAAACAAAAACAAAAAAATCTATATTTATGGAAATCATAATAATCATTTACCATAAAAAGTGGACAATTAAATTCAAAATTAAATATATGTAAACATATCTATTTTGAATATACATAAACATATTTAGTATTAATTTAAAATTTTAATATAATTTCGAAATTAATAATTTATATAGAATGAAATCTAATAAAACAAAATCATCATATATCTAAATAAACAAAGATAACCATTTTTTTAGAAAAATTAAAAGATAAAAAATATGTTAGCATATGAAATAATCAACTAATCAAATTCTATATAGTAAATATACATAACTGATCATATCATCAAATTTTAAAAATTATATAATTTTAAAATATAAATAAAATTTAAATAAATCAATAATTATATATTTTGTTGCTAAAATCATGCGAATAAACATTCTAGATCACACAAATTTCTTATTTTCACATAAAAAATATTCATATTCAAAAATCAATCTAGCAATTATAGCACAAATGATATCTACAAAATTTATCATTAATTCAATTAGTTAATGGTTTTTATTTGGTCAAACAGTTAGTTAATGATTATTCTAAACTTCTTTTTTCTTATTAATTTCACACCATCTTAACAAAATAAATCTTCATCCATTGGCAATTTGCATATCATTACTATTATCAAGTATTAAATAATTGTTTTATCAAATCATAAACTACATTTTGAGATTATAAACATATAGGCCATGAATGGATGCTGTTTTTTAATTCAGTTTTTGGATTTGGTTTTTATTTTTTGAATTATAGATTTTAGTTTTAGGTTTTTATATTAGTTTTTTGTATTAAAAATCCCAAAAATGTGGTTTTTGGTTTTTGAGTAAAATAACGTAGAAAAACTAAAAACTAGATTCCCTAAATTTTAGAAAACTTAAAAATCTAAAATCATGAATGGAAGATTACAACAAAATAGTTTTACTAAATTTTAGGGAATCCAAAAATTCAAAATCTTGATTGTTTGAAAATAAGTTTTTGAAAAACAAAAACCAAAATCTCTTCCAAAATCCACTAAACATTCTAGGCCATAAAATTTGTATTAAGAATAAAACTAAATAACAAGTGGATATATCACATTTAAATGATTTTAACGAATTATTACCAATTTTTAAATAATAAATGGATTATATTTTTATGATTTAATCTAATTGAAAACAAATAAAATGTCAAATTGGTATGATATAAATGATATAATAAATAAATATCTACAAACATTATCTCACATATACGTACAATTTTAAAATATCCTTGAAAAATATGATGTATAAGTTTTGGATAACCGGTTGAAATAACAAAAATTGGTAGTTATATTTAATTCTCAAAATCTCAAAATATTGAACAAAATTCAACTTTGGGACGTATAAATCTTTACTTTTGGACGATTATATGAAATTTTACATATATTAAAATTATATTTAGTTACATATAAATGGTGTTATTTATTTAAAAAATATATAAACTTATAGGAATGGATACGATACGGGAACATATAATTCGAAAACAAACATTATCTGAATTATGTCTCATAAAAAAAACAAAACAGATATAATTGTTATGAGACACGGTCATAGAGTTCAATTCACTTTCAACTTTCAAATAGAAAACTACGAGTACGATACGGGGACATGTAATTTAAATTGCTAAATTTAATTTACACTTTCCTATTTATTTCAAATATTTGGACATGAAATGACAGGTACAAGAAGATAACGTATACTTCGGATAACAAAACTACAATAAATACATGTATTAAAAAAAAAATAGAAATACCTAAATCTTTAGAAAACAAAAAGACTAAAACATGAATCTTTGAATTGAAGAAAGTAATGAGAAATAAAGACAAAACCGAAAGATCAATAAAATTAAAAATTGAACAAGGAATATTTAAACGAGGAATACGGGTATCCCGTCTAAATCTTATACCAAGTTTCTTATAATAAACATTGGCAAATGATTATGTTTTAAAAAGAAACGATTACGGGACATAAATTTTATGACATATAAAAGACAGGACGGGACAGGGCGGGGTGGGACCGGGACGGATCAGGACGAGACAGAAAGGGACATGACGGGTTTTCAATTCTAAATTACACATAAAATAATTCAAACTAAAGCCAAACTCAAATCTTATTTAACATCTCTAAGCAAACAGTTAGAAATGTTTTGATTAAATTAAAAAATAAACACATAATATCACTTATCATTTTCATTTAAATTATTTTAAAATTGTAATTTTAAAATTTTCTTATGTAATACAATATTTATATTTTACAACTGTATGTCTATATATAGTTTATCAAATAAACTCATATAACAAAATTTTACCAAAATAGCATCTACATAAAAAATCGTAATTTTGTAAAAATAACTCCGCACGTACGTGCGGGTCTATCACTAGTTACGATTAAAAATCATGTTTACTAAAAATTTCTTATTATTTCATAGATAGAATAACTTTTTCCCAAATTAACTTCAGTTTTTAAGAATTTGAAAACTCTTTTTCAAAAAAAAAAGGTTTAAATTCAAATTCAAAATTAGTTTCGGAACAATTTCTAAACTTAGATTTACTCTAATCACAAAATAATAAAATCTTTACTATTTTAATTTACAATTAACTAAATTTGATTAAATGGGAAACTATTGTATAGAATATACAAACTTATAAAATTCATTACTAGTACATGGTAAATAGTTCATTGGATCTTAGTAAAAAATAACAAAAAATCAAAAATCGAAATAAAAATAAAATCAATATAAAAAAAAAAAGGTCCATTCGATCTTATTGTTCGCCGCGCCGGACAGAATTTACTCGATTCCACGTGCGAATAAGGGACCACTCTTTGTAAATACAGTCAATAAACACGTGTCAAGCATCGGAAGCACTTCTAATTCTTTGTGTAATCTAAACCGTTCATTCTGTATTAGTGTGAGAACATCGTACCAACCTGTCTGCTATTTGGGAATTCCTATTTTTGTGTCTATCGAAGAGGTTTTTATTTTTCTCACTTCTTAAAAAATAAAAAAAAATCTCTGTTTTATTATGAATTCTAAGTATAATTTATTAATTATTACTAGTAATATGTTCGTATAGTATAAGAATTAAATTCTGATTCTTTATTGAATACTACATATCACGTGAAGATATCGCTGTGCATGTTTTCTTGTTTTTGTGTCTTGGCTTCTAGATATATATAGATTCATTTCTAGGTTGTTTTATTTAAATAATTATACCACATTCTCTAAGAACATATTTTGGAATGTTCATATCTATATTGAGCTTTAAAACTAATTATACAACATTCTCTAAACACATTTTCTTGTTTTTGTGTTTTGGCTTCTAGATATATAGATTCATTTCTAGGTTGTTTTATTTAAATAATTATACCACATTCTCTAAGAACATATTTTGGAATTTTCATTTCTAGGTTGAGCTTTAAACTAATTATACAACATTCTCTAAAGTCTAAATACATTTTCTAGTTTTTGTGTCTTGGCTTCTAGATATATAGTTTCATTTCTAGGTTGTTCTGTTTAACTAATTACTGAATTACACCAAATTCTCTTAGAACTATTTTTGGAATGTTCATTTCTAGGTTGAGCTTTAAAAATAATTATACAACATTCTCTCAACACATTTTTTTTATTACATGATTATATATGTATTAGGTTCCGCAACTGTGGTAATATATGCCGTCGATTTTTTTTATTTGTCACCAATAATGTTCATCTAAATAAAACATTTTTGTGTTTGCTGTCATCAAATAGTTATCAGTTCATATTCCTAATTAAATTTCCATAGAAAAGTGTTCATCTAGCACTATTTTGAGTTAGTTTAATTTCAAAGACAAAAGTGGTAAATATATGTAAAAAGTTTACTGGATACCATGTTCTATATAGTGCTATTTTCAACTTTACAGCTCTTTCTTTTTCTTTTTTTACAAATATTTACCACTTTTGAACATAGTAGAACGTTGCATATTTGGATATAGAAAAGTCTCATAAACTCAACAACTATATACTAAAAACTGAGTTAATATTTAATATATGTTTGTATTGTAAAATAATATAAAATGGAGAAATCCAAAACATAACCAAGAAGATACAAGTGAAAGCTAAGTTTTGTATATATAGTTCTGGGACTCATAAGTCACAACTCTAGATTTACACGAAACTGTAAGTCATTGTTTATAAATCCTAATTTGCTTAACTAAAATCATTAATCTATTGAAAACAAAACTAGAGTCAATCATTTTATAAGGTGGCTCTCCTATGCTAAAGCGACATCCAAAGTCAAAACAGTGAATTCTTATTCATGGACTAGCAAAAACAATAGTAAGCATTTAATGAAAAATAGATGTCAGATGACTTTGCTCCATCAAATTTTGGGACTACAATACCTATCAGCGACCAATCTTATTCATAAAAATTATCTGAAGCTAATTAAAATTGAGAGCATACAAAATTGTATTGTCAACATATCAGGGTTTTGTGTTTTTTTTTTCTCTAAAGTTTATTAGTGGTTTATATCACAATGCCTTACCATAAAGTAATCATACGATTAGACACAACATACTCATACATATATAACATCTATATATCAGTTCTTTACTATATTTTCTCATTTATTAATCATATATAGAAGTGTTTACTAAAATCTCAATCATCATCGCATGGAATGAAATGACTAGTATATGATCAAAGTTATAGCATAGTTATATATAAAAGGTGCCCTAACTGTATCAAGATTCAACATCGATTGAAATCAAAGTAAAACTCGAAGAACATGTAGATAAAATGGATCAAACAATTATAGCGTAAATAAACATATAGTTTTATCTTATTACATAAACAACTAGTACAGAAACAAAAGCATGGATTAGTGTATAATGTAAAACAAGGCTTTACATTAAACACTTAAAGAAAGCAAAATAGGAGAGACAATACATATAGAAAGGTAGAAGCGAATTATATATAATATGATCATACAGTTGCACCCGAGTAATTAGCCATCAAAGACTGACCTTGTTGTGGCTGCTGCTGTTGCTGTTGCTGAAGTGGTATAGGTGGCTGCGTTTGCGGTTTCTGCCTGTTCACTCTCTTCCTCTTCTTCTCATAGCTAACGCCACGAGCTTTGGCTTGGAAGTCTCTAACTTCACGGAGGTATAACCTGACGGCGCGTGAGCCAAATGGGTTAGCTTCTGGAGGGCCACCGTTCTCCTCGTAGGCGGCTCGGAGGCGGCCGATGAGGGCGTCGAGGGAGCCCCAAGCTTGTCTGAGAGGACAAGGACAAGGAGCAGGAGGGTTAGGGAGGCCAAAGAAGGCACAGTTCTGGTGGTGGACCTTTGTTTTCCCGAACTGGTCAAGGTACCGGAGGAACTCAAGCACGTGTGCGCCGCTGCACGACGGGAGAGAGAGAGGAGGACGGTGGTTCCGGAGGTATTGGCAGAAAGTGTTCCAGTCACGGCGTTTCTGGTTCTCGTAACGGCTTGAGGAAGGAGGTGTTAGTTGTGTTGAGGGATTAGGGTTCTTGTTTGGTTGGTGAGAGATCAACTCCATGGATTCTTGATTTTTGGAAAAGTTCAAGAAGATAGAATCTTGATTTTAGGGTTTGTTTCTTTTGATATGGATCCAAGAAAAGATTAGGGTTTTTTTTTTTTTTTCTTTTGTAGATCGAGAGCTAAGAACAATAATTGAGTAAATAGAGAAAGAAAAAAAAAAGTGAGAAAGAGAGAGACTTAGCTGGTAGTGATGATGATGAGATTGATACTATAAAAGGTATAGATTCATCTTTTTTTTGGCAGATCAAATCGAACAAAACAACTAGTGAGCAGAAATGGTGAGGCAAATAGAGAGAGAGAGAAGTGAAGTTTGTTGCTGCTTATAGAAGAAGAAGATGAGAGAAGAAGATATATAAGTGGAAGAGATCTTTTTATTTTTATTTTATTTTCCTTTATATTGTTTTCTAGCTTTTCTACTTTGGGAAGATGATAGAGAGACAATACACAAAATCACACTTGTCAAGGACTCAAGAGTGTGTATAGTATATAGCTTCAAGACTCAAGAAGGTCATTTAAGGAGAGAGAGACTGAGCAGATGAGTACAATAGAGAGGAGATGAGAGAGAGAGGAGATGAGAGAGAGAGGAGATGAGAGAGAGAGGAGATGAGAGAGAGAGAAGAAGAGGACTATGTGTTTTACACAGCGTAGAAAAAGGTAATTTCATAGTTGAAGAGATAGAGAGAGAGAGAGTGTATGTATGACCAATGGGTCAAGTGGGGAACTTGAAGTTGAACATTGACATGACATGAGGAGAGAAGAGTCTGTGTTCTTTGCCTGCAATTTGCAGTGACATATTTCATTTTTATTATTTTTTCATTACTTTACTTTCTTATAGCATTATTCTTGTTTCCTTACTTCACTTTAATTTATTTTAGTATGATAAGGACGTGATTAACATATAAATATGATTTTATTTTTCCCGGAAATCATGGGTTATAACTTATAACTTATAAGGCAAAATAACCGAACTGGAAAAAAGGAACCAAACCGAACCGAAACCAATATAATAACTGATTGGGTAGAAAATTGAGAGCTAAAAAAACCGGTTATTATATTGGTTTCGGTTATGTACCCGAAATACCTAATACATAGTAATATATCTTTTCTTTTTTGTTCGTAAACATACATAGTAATATATCTAAAATATTAATTATATTAGTTTTGATATAACCAATAACCAAAATTCAATTATAAATCCATAAATTTTTATATTAAAATAACTAAAATATTTAAACTAACGAAAATATTTGGAATTTTTAGACATATTTTCAAAATTCAATCAAATTTTAATAAACTTAATTAATTTAAACTAAAAATAACAATTTCGGATATCCGGAATAAAGCAAAAATCTAAAATAATCGAATAGATCCTAAACTTCTTTATCCAAAATAACCGAAACCGAATGGATATATCCGAACCGAATCGAATACTCGAAATAAGTTATATAAAACTTATATTACACCACTTTTAAACACAAACGTTTCTTGTGATAAACGGTGGATTAGTACAATACCTCTTTGTTGACTATACAAAACCAGACATAGGCTTTCAAAGGAACATGTGTTCAGTATTTAGTATAGATTGATGTGTTAGTGTCCGTCCGTGCCCCAGAAATTAAATTTGCTATAAATCGATCGAGAAAAGTTTTATGCATACGGCTTTGTCTCAATGGTAAAGGCTGCCATGTAGACGTGGTGTTAACTTTGGCAATAACTACGACTGTATTTATAGAACCAAACTATTTGGACCAAACATAACAAGCTTTTTTTTTTTTTTTTTTTTTTTTTAAATCTTAGAATATTCTTTAGATGTTATAAAAAGAAAAAGAAAAAAAGACCTCAGAAAGAGAGAAGTTCCGCAAAATTGTTTTAGTGGTCAAAACATGCATGTATCACATGGTTTTTAATTTCATTTAGTGGTAACAAAACAATGACAAAATTATAAAGTCAATTTCTTTTTTGTTTCTTTTTATGATCTTTGAAAACATAGTTAAGAATATCAGTGTTGAAAATAATTCAGTATTGGGTTTTGGCAGTGACAAATCGATATGTAATTGTCAATCTAATAGCAAGAGTTTTGCCTATTTTCTAAAATTTTCTCTCCGAAACAAATGTATTGAAGAACCTCAATAGAGCAAATAAGTTAAAAAGTAGATCTTACCAACTTTTCTTAGCCAAAAGAGGCACTTGTGTTGCTTCTCTTCAATAAAACTCTCCCGTTTTAAGCTTTTCGAATAAACTTTCTCATGCCTCAAAGTTTTGCCTTCAAATCTAGCTTATTGTCCATTCTTCAAGGAAATTAGAGTCGTCTTTTCCTTTGAAAAAATATAACACCCATGTTCGGAAACGAGTGGTGTCGATCGACACCAACATTTTTTGGTTCAGATCGGTTCAATTTAATTGAAAAGTTAATTGGGTTGGTTTGGGGTTAACCTAGGGATTGAGTTTATAAGGGAAAAACTCGACTTCAGTTTTTTATTCAGTCGCTTCTGTTATTCGAGAGAGTGAAGAAAGGTTTCTCAAGGTTCCAGTGAGTTTTGGTGAGTTCTAGTGAGGTTTGGAGGCTTGTTTTTTCTGGTTTAGACTAGAAGAGGCTAAGATATGTGCTTGTTTGGTGTTAGGAGAGTCAGATCCTTCCTTATTTCATTGTCCATTTCAAAGGTGAGTACATGACCAAGGCTTATCTAAGCATTTTGATCATTGTTTTGGATTTTTTGATGATTGTTTGATTGATTTCTTTGCTTGCTTGGTTGTTTATGTGTTCTATGGTCCCTGTGAAACCTCTTGGAGGTTTGTTGTTGGCCTTAAAGTGATTAGAAGAGGAGGTCCACTGAGGAAATGCAACTTGAGCGGCTGTAGAGAGTCGGTGTCGATCGACACCAGTGGTGGGTGTCGCTCGACAATGATTTGTACCGCGAGGATACTTGCGACCCACGAGTAGAGTGTCGAGCTCGGTTTCGAACGCGTGTGCTGAGTGCGACTGTCGATCAACACCAATGGTGGGTGTCGATCGACACCGATCTTCAACAGTGACACTATATGTTGTTAAATGCTTATTTGTGATTGTTTCACTTGATAATGATTAATGTTGCTTGTGTGTATAGCCCGGTAGTTAGGATGAGTGCCTCACTAAGTATTTCTGGAAATACTTGTGCATCTCTTTTTGTGATGCATATAAAGGAAATGTTTGACCGTGGAATAATGGCAAGGAGAGAAGAATGATTTAGGGGCTCGTTGGATGTTTTTAAATAATGCATTTGTTATTGTTAGGAATACTAGTTTCTGGAATCTTAGAGCATGTTAGGATTGTTGGATTGACTTTGTAATGATTGCTGGATTTGTTGGTTATTAAATTACTTTATTGCATTGCTGGTTTTATTGTCTTCCGCTGGTTTTATTTGGTTATGATTTGTTTGAATTAGAATTGCTGGTTAACTAGTTTAAACTGAAATTGAATGGGTTAATTGATCTAGTCCGGTTTAGCTGGTTTAAATTATTTGGGTTAATCCGGTTTGCATGATTAAAATAAAACGGGTCGGGTATTTTCAAGAACGAATATTCCAATTGTTGCAAGAGAATACGATTTATTGGTTTCACATTCTAGTCCAGGTAATATTATCGAAGACTCTTTCCCTTCAGGAAAGGAGATACCTTTAGCTTCAGAGATATTAGTTTGAGTTTTTGAATTTGTTTAAGAAGATAATTTCAATTTAAAGGAAGAAGTTGTTGTTTGTGCTTGTCCAGTGTGTCAAGAGATATGCGAAGTAAGAAGATTCCCTTTAACATAGACACTTTTATAGTTTACGTAAGACATAATAAAGATCAAGATGACAAATAACTCAAGTATGAATTACAAGCTGACTATAATGCAGTAGGCGCAGGTTGATGACATTGTTATCATTAGATGATATCACACATCGATGATGGGATGAATCCTTCAGTAGTATATATGTGATGTGATAACTCTTCTCCTTTGAGCTAGTATGGGATTAATCCACATTCCATATGTTTCCTTGTACCAAAAGGGCTGCTATGAAAATTTCCATTTTTCTTCATTCCTTGGGTTCAAAGTTATTCCAACCAAGCTATACTGCTTGTACATTCAATCATGGCTGAGTTGTTAGTAGTTGGAATGTGGATGGTCGATTAAGGGAAATCTCACCATATCACAACTCAAGATTTTGACTTTGACTCAGAAAGAAACTTCTAAAAAATTTGAAGGAAGCAACGATGCCTCTTTGAGATATCGAGAAATGCAAAAAAAAAGGATCTCAAACACTATACACTATTTTGGTGTAAACACCATGTACGCTATTGTGGTGTTATTTTAAAACCAACTAGGGATGGATCCGCACGTACGTGCGGGGTTGATTGCAAAACCTAAATTTATCATAAAGTTTGCAATATTTGGATCAACATGATAAGAGATCCGGATCGAGTGTGAACCGAATTAATGATAAGTTAGAAATCAATTAAATTGGTGAACTATCACATCACATAAAAACAATGAAAAAACATTAAAACTTTTGAATAAAATAACATAAATATCGATGTCAAGGGAGTCAAACACGTTCACTATGTTTGTCCTGCAACAAATTGAATTATTTTTGCCCCACACATAAATAAATAATATGTGTTATTATGCTTGCATGTTACCCATAATTCTCTTCTATATATTATTAGAAATAGTTAAGATAATAATTTTTATTTTCTAAATTACCCGTTTTCTTTCCGTATCCCGATATTTGAAATATTTAAGTAATTTGGAACTTACTTTTGCTATTTAAATTTTATATTCATGTATCATACCCGTCATTTGATATTTGAAAGTTGAAATTGAATTTAAGTTTGGGTTTCCAATTTTTTTATGTCGTCTTGTTTTTGATGAGAAATAGTTTAGATATATTTTTTTTAATTACCCGTTCACTTTTTGTACCCGTTCTTTCCCTCTAAGATAATATCATACTTTAAAAAAAGAAAATATAAATGACATCATTTACATGTTTTTTTGTTTTAAAAATAACATTATATAGCCTGTAAATAACTAATTAAATTACACGTCCGTTCTCTTTCCATATCCGTTGTTTCTTGTCCTGATATTTGAAATATTTAAGTAATTTGGAACTTACTTTTGCTATTTAAATTTGATATTCTTGTATTATACCCATCATTTGATATTTGAAAGCTCAAATTGAATTTAAGTTTCCAAATTTTTTATATCTTCTTGTTTTTGATGATTAATAGTTTAGATAATTTTATTTTTTGAATTACCCGTACCCTTTTTGTACCAAAAGGAAATTATCTCTGATTATTAAACCAATAGGATGTTATCTCTGATTATTAAAAGAGATTGTATGTGATATAAAATATTTATTCTATTGATTTCTGAAAACAAATTTTTATTATTGATTTATTTAAGATTTTGTATTTAAACATTTTAATTATTTACTTATGATTTTAACATTTTTATCATATTATCAATTTTGTTGAATATTTCTCCATATTTTATGCTATTGTACAACATATAACATATTTATTTTTCTTTTTAGTTTTCCTAAAATATCAATTTTTCAAAATATAAGATGATTTTTGTAAGGCAAAATAAATATATTATCATATCATATGAGTTATACAAAATAAAAGTAACATAAACCACTTGAATAAAACCATTAAACCAAATAAATAAAATACAATAAATTAGATTTTATGAATTATTAGATTATTGTTTAAAAATATCTCAAAAAATTAAATATGTTACATATGTAAATTTTTTAATTTAACTGTCCACTTTTT